ATAAAACAGTAAAGGGAAGTGGAGCTGTGTGTCTTTGTCTACATTTTTGTGTATATGTGTTGCTCTGTGTGTGTGTCTACATCTGTGTATGTGTGTGTGTGTGTGTACCTGGAAGGGTCTGTAGTTCTTCATCTGAGCGTTGGTCAGCACCAGTGTGCTCTGAATTAAATTAAACAGCACCAAAACATCAATGTCCTCCTGCCTGTAACACACACACACACACACGCACACGCGCACACACACACACGCACACACATCAAAACACAAACCAATTTTTTTTAAAAAGCGCACAAGAAATCATACACACACACACACACACACACACACACACACTTCTTCAAGACGTCTTGAGTGCGCTGGAGTGAATCGTCTCCTACAGCGTACACCTTAAACCTACAGCAGACACACACAGAGGAATCAGAGTTAAATCAGCGGCTCCTCAAGACTCCTCCACACGTCTGAAGACCCCCGCGGCCCCCTGTGTGCACCTGTCGAAGAGCTGCTGTCGGGTGTCTGGGATGATGACATCACTGGGGCCGTAACTGGAGCTGAACTTTGACCTCAGAGCGCTGACAAACTCCTTATACTCCAAAGCACACACCTGCAGCACACACACACACACACACACACACACAAATATTATAAAAATAGATGAACACACACACACACACACACACACAAATATTATAAAAATAGATGAACACACACACACACACACACACACACAGACACACACAAATATTATAAAAATAGATGAACACACACACACACACACACACACACACACACACACACAGAGCTGATTGGCTAAGCGGTCTGTGACTCTCACCTGGAGATCGTTGTAGTCTCCAGTGCGGCTGCTGAATCTGGAGATCAGCTCTTTATCCTGGTACATCTCAGCCAGACAGATCCTGACGGAGAGCAGAGCAAAACACCAGCAGGAGCATCACTGAACCACTGAACCACTGAATCACTGAACCACTGAATCACTGAATCACTGAATCATTGAATCACTAAACGACTGAATCACTGAATGACTGAATTACTGAACCACTGAATCACTGAACGACTGAATCACTGAATGACTGAATTACTGAATTACTGAATCACTGAATCACTGAACGACTGAATTACTGAATTACTGAATCACTGAATCATTGAACGACTGAATCACTGAATGACTGAATTACTGAACCACTGAATCACTGATTTACTGAATCACTCACTCAAACGAATCATTCAGAACAGATGATTTCAAATTAAGCCAGTGATGCCTTTAAGATTGATTCACTGAATCTTTGAATCAAATGACAAAAGATTCATTCATAAACAGAAAACAGGGAACATTGTCTGAGTCACACACACATGCACACATACGCGCACACACACACACACACCTGTAGTTGAGGCAGGTCTGTGGGTTCTTCATGATGTAGCGTGAGCGGCGGCCGACAGCCAGAGAGGTCTTATCCTGAGACGAGTCAAACTCAGCGTGCAGAATGTCACGCACCACTGTCCAGGGCACGAACGGCCTCTTCAGCTGCACACACACACACACACACACACACACACACACACACACACACACACACACCAACATTACTATGGACACTAGAATCTGTGTGTGTGTGTGTGTGTGTGTGTGAGTGTGTGTATAGTGTGTTTTAGTTTGTGTGCATGTAGTGTGTGTGTGTGTGTGTATATTGTGAGTGTGTGTATGTATGAGTGTATATTGTGAGTGTGTGTGTGCGTCTGTGTCTGCACCTTTCGGTTGAGGAAGTTGCTGGCGACGCGGCACAGCATCAGCAGGCTGTCCTCGGTGTGTGTCCAGGCCACTCTCTGTCTGGTCATGTGTAGCAGCGCACGCTGATCTGTCTCATCCTGAGCCTGTCTCTGCCTCTGCACGCGCACTGAACACACACACACACACACACACACACACACACACACACACACGCACGCACGCACGCATGCACACACGCACACACACACACGCACAGTTGATCTACTGGTCATTGTGTCTGTGTCATGCAGTGTGTGTGTGTGTGTGTGT